ATAGTCTCAACCTCCTTAACGAAATTAATAACTCAGCCTACATCAATTTCTACTGGGTTCAGGGCCACTCTGGGAATCCAGGTAATGAAAGGGCCGATAGGCTGGCTAAGAATGCTCACAAGATAGCTGATACCTATGCTTATGAGGCTATCCCTCTCTCCACCATTCACAGAGAACTGCACAAACTACTCATCACTATCTGGCAAAAAGAGTGGGATACTGGCACCACTGGCCGACACACGTACAAATTTCTCCCAAGTGTCAGCACACATCTTAATTTATCCTTCTTCCACACCAACCATGCCATCACCCAGCTTATCACAGCGCACGGGAACTTCCGTGCGTACCTTAAACGTTTCCTTAAGAAAGGAAATGGTAATTGCACCTGTGACATCGTAGAAGAAGAGGATCCATTTCACGTCTTATTCACCTGTCCTAAGTACACCTCCTACCGCGAAAATCTGCGTAGTATTGTGCAAGCGAAAGGTCATCATTGGCCCTGCAACTTCAGCGTCCTCCTCTCCTCAGCACGGATCTTCCATGGACTAAAAAACTTCTGTAACCATCTACCATTAATGAACTTTCACAATGGACGCAGATAACCTAGTTTTCAGGCTTATTACAACTATTTTACAGGGGTTAAGCCCATTGTGTCCCTCACCAATCCGCCCCCGCATATCAATTCTGTTCTTGATGGGCGTACATCTGTTATTAATTGTACAATTGTTACTTTTCAGTGCATTCTCTCCTCTGTTTACTTCACACTTATCTGGATAACACTCTACAGTTCTCTCCTTTCCACCCTCTTTTCTATCCCCACCCCATTCCCCCCTATCATTCTCTCACCCTCTCTATCACCCTCTTTCTCAGTGGCAACACCCCTGGGTACGCCATTTCTTTCGCTCACTATCACTATCACTACTATTTGAACTTACAACCTCTAAAAGTTAAAAAATACATTAAATAACTAATATTTTCAGGAAGTCAACTTTTTACTGTATTTTTGTGGAATGACTGGCATGCCAGTCCATCCAGGGAAACCACAAAATCAGGTATTTCTGTATGGTAAAAACTGTCAGCATCACATCAATGATTTCTACAATGATTTCTTCATTTTGTCTTCTTTCCAATGACAGGAAAATTCCAAAAGTGCTTTTCTTTTATGTGTATTTGTTATTTGATTCAAAAATGCAAAAATATTAAATTTAAGAAACTCATTGTAAATTATCTCAGCTTATACCAATTATCATAGGCTTTGTGTGAAATTTGAGAGAAAGGTGTTCATTTTAAGGTCACGGTAGATGGTCAGTATAGCCCATGCTGACCATCTACCCTGACCCTACTACTTACTAATACTGTTGATGTCAATAAGTCATTAATCGTTTTATTGTCTGGTAAATAAAAACTCTCTTCCTGATTTTAAGTCAGTCAAATTACATTATTATTTTACTGTACTTGGAAGAATGTTTTCTTTAATGTTTAATTAATAACTAGTTTTGTTAGATCTGATTAATTTTATATTTTAGGTGCAGTTTAACCAACATACCAGTAACCCCAGGGTTACCAGAATGCTGATCACTCCTGTTTTTATGTGGCATGCCAGTCATTCCGCAAAAATACGGCATTAAATAGAAGAAATATTTTATCAAAATCCAACCATCTTCAGTTTAAAATCTAAACTAAGGATGGTCAAATTTTGACCAAAAAATATGAAAAGAACTGTAAGATAATCCAGTTTCTTGAGATAAACCCTTTTAAGATTTTGTGTAAAACTTGCTTATAAACATGTCTGAATGCTCTCATCAGATAAAAATTGATAGTTTTTTTATGCACAAATTCCAAGGACCATTACTTACTGAAAAGTTTGTAAAAATAGATAATATGGGATGTTTTTGCATCAACCATTGCCTTAATTTTCAGTCTGTTTTTGCTTTATATGCCTTTCCATTATAATAATTCCCTGTTCAATAGTGCAAGGCATTTCCAATTATCACAACATTTAATTTAAATAACTACAATAAAATAACACAACAGTAGCGTCCCACTAGTACGAACATGTTTCAGTCGGTGGAGAGGAAATTTTTTAACTCGCAAAATACAAGTTTTTTGTATTTTCCAATTGAATTTAAATGGTATTAATGGTACAAAAAGATTTAGAATTTCACAACAACAAAAATTGTATTTTATTGCAATACCGTATTAATACTGTACAAAATTAATAAATCTGTGTTTGACACGGCCTACTAAAACAGCAGATATACTTATCAGGGCTGTGGAGTCGGAGTTGTGGAGTTTTGGTGTTTAGCCGGAGTCGGAGTAGTCAAAAAATCCGCCAACTCCGACTCCTTTTTACTTCCCAACTTGTTATGTATACAAAACGGAAAAGTATTGGAATCATGTCAAATTTGACCCTCCAAGTTTTTTTTTTTTTGCAAATCTACACGTTTGGAGACCTCCCGAACCCCTCAAAAAAGTCAATAAAAGGGAAAAAAATTCGCACGTGCATGTGTGTTAACGTCTAATTTGTTTAATTTCTTTATTTTCCGTTCTGAGATATTAAACAATATCTCAGAATGGGTAAAGTTTAAAAAACAAAACATGGCACTGTAGCTTGCATATAAAGGGGCATTAATACTATTAAATTTCAGTCCTTAATTAAAGGTCTACAGAATGAAAATATAAGTGGTCAAGTGTCATATCTCTTAATGAATATTTTACTTGTTATTAGCGTTCAAAATTTAAAAAAAAATAAAATAAAACTCGTCATTATCCTCAAAGTAAGCTTTTTTGTCATTTTATAATACTGTAGTACAGTAAAACCCGTTAAGATGTTCTCGCCTAAGATGTTAAATGTAAATAGGGACATGATTTAGTTCAACCACTTTGACGCTTAATAACTAACTCATGTGTTAAACCATATGACTCCGATTCTGACCACTCTGACCACAAAAATTATTAGGCTTCAAACAGGGTGAACAAAATCAAGCCCCCCACAGTCTAACATCCATACATATAGAAAAACCTCAAATCTTTTGCATATCTCGAAATTTCAAGGTATCCTGCGTCCAAAAACATTTGGGAGGGATCATTTTTTGACCCAGCACTACACTTTCCCTCTGTTATATATAACAGCCGGAAAAGTAAAAATTATCGAATACATATTTATATATTACTTAGAGGAGTCTTTTAGCTTTGGAATGAAAAGTTTCTACGTTCTATCTTTATTAGATCTCTATCTATTGAATTTTTTATTCTGAAGTCACGTGATGGCATCAGAATTTCCGGGTCTCTTTTGGCAACAAGTCCGCCCCTGGTCGGAGTCGGAGTCGGATGGTAAGGAAAAGTCGGAGTTGGTAGATTTTTACGCGACTCCACAGCCCTGCTACTTACATAACAAAAACAAAAACCTTTTTAAAAAAACTTTTTTTTTGTATTACATGTATTACAAAAAATATATTTTTTTTTGTAATACATTTTGTAATAAATCTAAATTTGTTTTTTAAATGTATTTATTAATTTTACCACTAGAGGACTATTTTAACTTATTTGCATTGTATGGCAGACGAGTAGCTGACACCATGATTCCATGGTGGAGACCAACTCCACCATGGAATCATTATTACCTCAACAGCATGTGAAAGGACCGAATAAAAACTCATCCAGTATGTATAGTCTACCAAGAAATACAGTCAACCCCCCTACAACGTGCGTTCATATAATGCGGATTTGTATATCGTGGCAAAAAAATTGCGACTGTATTCATATAAAGACGCTAAAAGGGACTCGTAAAATGCAGTAAAACGTCATTGCCGACTCGTGTCGCTACAGGATTGGTCGAATCTGGACCAATAGTGGACGAGCACTATTAACCGTGATTATTTTTTCTATCTATCTATTTTTAAATAAAAATAATTCTTTATACGTTGGGAGATATTTTAATAAGTTTTGTAAATTACTATGTTCGATCCAGCCAGTTATATCCGAGTTTTTTTCGTCTGTTAAGCACATCCTTTGAGGATTTCCTTACCGTGTATACCAGCCTTAAGTTGAGTTTACTATCGTCTGTACAGTATATAAATTAGATACTGCAAGTCTAATACAGTACTGTAATTTTATACATTTCTTATTCAATGGCCATAAAAATTATTTCTATTAATGATGTCTCCAAAGTTCAGTGAATTTTTTGAAGAAAAATAACTTATCAGAAAACACACCCGCCATTCGGTGCGCTGCTCCATGATGAAAACAAGCTTAAGCAATGACGTCATTGAACGGTGCACACTCGGTAGGTAATCCTACAATTTTTTATTTATAGCATAGTTTATACGGATTATTCCCAAAAAATTATACGTGTTTTGGAAATGTTGAGTCAAATTAGTCTAGAATCGATTAATTTTATGGAAGAAAACCTTTCAAACAGCCGTAGTCCATAAACTGCATACATGCCGAGCTGTGATTGGCTCATGTATTTAAGGATTCCTACAACATGAAATTCTTATAAAGTGGAACGTATCTACCGAGTTATGGGGGGGTCAACTGTATATTTTTTGTAAAGAAACAAAAGTCATTGATGATGTTGGATCTATATAAACTGGACCTATTTTACTGCTTGCTTCTGCATATTTATTATCACTAATCCAAAAATCTGCTAATTTGAACAGGGCTCAGTCCCAATTAGTTTGGACTAACGGGACTCTACTGTATTTGGGGAGTTGATTTGTGACAGATTCAGTCAAGTGACAATGGCCTGTACTATTGCAAAGTCAAATTTGTGGTGTCACCAAAATCCTCATTACTTCTCATGAACAAACTTTCAATTTGACCACCATTTATATATAAAAATCTTGAAATCTAACATTTCATTATTTTTAATTAATTTTTACAAAAAAATTATATTAGAATGAATTCTGAATTAAATTATATAATAGTTCTGTTAATAAAGTATTTTTGTTAATGCAAATAAATTGACTAAATTTTGTAATTCAATAAATTTGTCTTACCCATCCATTGGGACCAAAGCAATGGCTCTTGGTTGATCTAAATCTTTCCAAAATAATACTTTTCTATAACTTCCATCTAAGTTGCTTACTTCAATACGATTCGTATCTGAATCTGTCCAATATAATTTCTTGCCTAACCAATCACAAGCAAGTCCATCTGGAGATAACAGTCCTGTTGTAATTATATCTCGTTCTGATTTAGAATTATTAATTGACATTCCCTTGATCATCTCAAGCCCAAAATCAGTCCAGAAGATAAGACCTTCAGCATAATAAAAATCCAATGCAGCTGCATCTTCAAGATGACTGATCAACACACTTGAAGAATTTGGTCTTCGAGCTTCAATATCTACTAGACGAATATCCTTGCGATTTGCAAATAGAAGTAATGGCAAAGCTGTTTAGACAAAAAAAAATGCATATGTTAACTTTACATTAACATTTAATATACTTAATTTATTAAAAAATATTATGCTAATTAGTTTAAATATTTGTCTAGAAATATTTCAACTAATCAGCAGTAAAAAACATTGTTAATATTACTAAAATATTAATATTTTTAGTTTTATAATAGGAGATAAACATTCGTTTTACAACAGTTAAATTGTCATCAAAATTAAAAATCTTTGTGATGAAGCAAAAGAAAATAGAAAGTCTTGTTTATACTGTAAGGAAAACCTTCCTTACTTTTTTTTTTTAAAGTAAACAATATGTAAAAAAGAACTTTTTGCCAATCCAAGCAATTCATTTTCTTCAACCACCATTGAAAATTTATTAGTCAAATAAAATGAACCTCCTGGAATACAGTATACTTGACAACTTTTCTGAAATATCAGGTTTCAAATGTTGATAAAATTGAAAAAGGCATCAAGGAAGATCAATCCCATAATTTCTTATAAAATAATAATAGTGAGCAGTCACATTGATGTTTAAGTGATAATATTTAAAATTAGTTAGATTGTATAAGAGCAAATTTTGTTATATTTAGATTGGACATTCACATTTAGAGCAATATTCCCCAATTGTGAGGTGTTTAAATTAAAAAGATTAATACTAGAGTGAAAATTGTGATGAAAAATTAGCTAAAGATCAGATATATTGTATAACTGCTGATAGTACAGAGAAAAAGTGAGAGCTCAAAATATAGAGAAAAGTGAGAACAACAGCTCAAATTTGAGAAAGCTTCTAGAGACAGAAAAGCAAAGAAAATCTAAGCTTGACAAATTACAAATAGTGTCTCAAAGAGAAATTAAGCTAGAGAAATTAAGACTCAATGCTAAAATTCAGGTACCGTAGCACCTCAGGATACAAAATTAATCCGTTCTGAAACTGAGATCATATCATGAAAATGTCGTAAGGTGAATCATTTTTCCCCATATGATTACATGTAAAACCAAATAATCCATTCCAACACGAAAAACACACTCAAATTAAAGCTTGTCAAAGTAGTACATTGAAAAAAAATAACTTTAGCAAAGAAAACACTGAAAAATGCATTTTGTAGTTGTAAATGTACAAATAACCATAATAGAATAATAATTGATAAAAAAAAAATGTAGTTTTATTTGCACTTTACCTTTGAGGATAGATGATGGTGGAGGTTTAAATTGGTGGTGGAAGAGAGGGAGAAGGGAAATGATACTAAAACTTAACTTACATAACAGAATGTAACAATAACTTAAAAATAACTTAACACTAATTTTTTAACTTTTCTATTTTATAATTTTTTTTTAATTTTTTATTCACTTGCTTCCTTTCCTTCATTTCCACCAGCACTTTCACTGGATAGAGGTCGCTTGGTAAAATATCTATCCAAAGAAGTTTGGCTTTGCCTACATTTTAAACTGTTTCTAAAATGACTTAGGCAAATGTCATTACTCTGAGCAGCAATACAGCCATTGTGAACCTTTTCGGGATGTTTATTTTCAATAAAATCTGTCACTTTCTGATATCTCAAGATTTCCTTTATCGAGCAAGATCCTTCCATGACGAAGCAAACACATGGACTGAGACCAATGAACAGAAGTGAATAAAAAATGGTGCTGCAAACTAATGTAATGTCATATGGTGAGTTCTTGTTCATACTGTGGAGCAAAAATATGTTCAAATTTCATGTCATATCCTGAAAATTTTGTATGCTGGAGCATTTGTATCCTGAGGTACTACTGTATATAATAAAGATGGAAAAGTGACTGTTCAAAAGTCAATTATAAGATTTGGTTTAAAAATTTGATCCAGCAAGTATTGATATCAGTCTATACTTGATCATATTTGAATATAAAGCTCAAAATTAATCATGAAAGTTGGGTCACACATTTGATTGGATTGCTCTAAACTAATATAATGCAGTTCATTACTTGTGAAAACCAGCAGAGAAAGCATAAACTACAAATACAGTAAGAACCCACTTAATGCTGATTCGATATAACGCAGCCTGCTTGAAGCCTAAAAAAAGCTAAAAATTTACACTGATTCAAATTATCGCAGCATTTCATTGATTCATACTGTATATAATACTATTATTTACAAACATGAACCAATCAGCAAAGGTGGCAATTCGTCATAGCACTGTACTTCCCTTAAATCTATGTTTGTTTTGTGCAATTTTGAAAAAAATATAACATCATGGATGCCATAGTTCTTGCCAAGCAAAGTCAATATTGCCTAACTGATAAATGCATGAACGAAGTGTGGAAAAAGTTATGGCTGAAGGTATCCAAGAATTCTCAACAAGAGCCTATCATTGTATCGTTAGGTTGACTGAATTGTCAACCTAATCGATACAGCAAGACTAGGAGATGTAGACTATCAGGATATTGAAGTTACTGCAGGTTTCTGGTGAGAGCCTTACCAATGACAGCTTTCAAGAACTGGCAGAACAAGAAATTCGTGTAGAACTGAAAAATAGTGACTCTGAAAACGAAGAACCCAAAGAATTTCTCTACAGATTTCCTTAGTAAAAGTTTGGTAACAATAACCGAAATTATTGATCAAATTGTAGCAAATGATCCAGATTTTGAAAGGAGTGCAAAAGCAAAATGAGGCATTTTTGATGCAATCTTCTGCTACCGACATTTGCTTAAGGAAAGAAAAAAATAAGCGACAAATGAAACTACACGACTTTATCGCAAAAAACAAGAATTTCAGAAAATCTAGGACATTCATCACAAAAAATGAATTTTACATTTCTATCTGCATATATTTAACATATATTATTATGCAAATTAATATAAAAATAACTTAAAGTAAAATCTGTTTATTTTTAGTCGCATATTCCCCTATCCCTATTTACTCTGTGTTAAAATTACCTCGTTTAGCACTGTTTCGTTTAGCGCTTTGTCGTCTAGGAATGCATCCTCCGAATTAAGCAGGGTCTTACTGTATATCAAAGGACTCATTACAAAAACTTCAATTGAGTTCTACATAAATTCCATCAAATGTTTAATTCTCACAATATGACAGTAAACAATATGTGGGAAGATTATGCTCTTTCTGTACTGAAGGAACAAAAGTTTCAGGAATGACCAAGTATGAAACATTGATGGATTTGTTTGTTTTGAACCAAATAAAGAAGCAAGTTGTACAAAACCACTGAAGTATAAAAACACTTCATAGATGAATGGACAAAAGTTGTATCTTTGAAACAGTTAGCCAACATACTTGATATGCTTATCAAGTATGTTGGCTAACTGGATGGAAATTCAACAAAAAAGAAGTGTAAGATAAATCCTCTGGTAATAGCAGAAAAGAAATTAGTCAAGTAGAAATAAGTGGTAAATTGAAAGTTAAGAATACAAGTGGCCATAATTTGAATAAATATGTTTTCAAGAAATGTAGACTTTCCAAGTGTCATGAGTGTGGATCTGCACATCTATAATAAACATCCTGAAGCTCAATGCATTAATACTAAACTAAACGATCACCATAATTAATTGGGCTATTAATATGCTATTATTAATTATTAGAAATTAAGTAATTTGGTATTAGAGGTAGACATAGGCACCATCTCTGATTTAAATTAATAATTATAATAATAATTATTTAATTTTTATTAAATAATTTAAAACAGTCTGGAAGAAAAAGACTGGCCCAGAGCAGGATTTGAACTTGCAACCTCCGTTTACCTTGTGATGTGCTGACAGTTATGCCATCTAGACCTCCAAGCAATTCTTTGCTTCCAGATGTATTTAAGCCTAGATATAGCCATTCACAGTTACTCACAGAGCCAGCAGAGGACAACTCCTGCGCCCACAGCCTATGTACTCCTCCCCATGGAACTTAGCCAGCTATTGCTTTACCCGGCATGGTATATATATAATAAACATTTGGTTTAGTATCAATGCATTGAGCTTTGGGATGTTTTATTTGGGTATGAATATTGCCCAGTTTTTCATAAAAGTATTGCCATGCATATGAGATGCTTTTTTCATCTTTAAAGTTAATGTAACTGTCCGTTAGGTCAGCTTTGTATATTTTTAAAGCTTCTAGAGCCCTGATGTGATCAGTTTGCAAGGATTGTTTGAGTAATGTGGCCTTCTTAGTTATTATTATTATATTTGTATCTGTTCTAATTTTATACACTTTAAAAGGTAACTGAATCTTTATTTATTCACTTTTATATTTTGCATCTTTATATTTTGTTCCAATATTTTAAAAACATTTGAAATTAGTTCTGTGCATTCCAATTTAGAATGTAGTTGACCTAAAGCAGATCATGTGTAAGATCAAAAACATTTATCAATTTCACATTAAAATTATTTACTGGGTGGCAAAGATTTTGTTTGGTATACTTATCTCATTGAAGAAACTGTTGTTAAATTACTATTAAAGTCTTCAAAAATGTTTAATAACTTATTTTTATAAATAGTTTTAAATCTTTTGTTACTTACAGCCTTCCTACTCAAATTTTTGTTTTATATTCTATGACTTTTCCTGATCAACTTTGCACAAATTCCCTGACCCTCATGTCCCTTACAGTATGGCACATTGACAAAATAAAGCAGCATTTGATTTACTATGCACATATGTTTTGCTTCTCCAACATTTTAATTAGTTATTTTTTCTAATTAACAGTTATATATTTTTATAATTTCTGAATTATTAAAATGAAAAATGATAAATAGTATCATTTAAATTAAAATTATTTATCATTTTTTGTACTTTGTAAATTTTTGGAAAAATTTTGTGTAAGCTTGGAAGAAATTTTGGGTCCTGAAAATATTCTGCACTCCTTTTCATAAGTTGTAGTGCACCACATTACTCCTTGCTGCCTGCAGACAGCTACACTTAGTCAAGCACTTGTCAGCAAAAAAATCAACAAGGCAGCCAAAGAAGCAAATTCCTGATTTTTTAACAATATTTAACAAATTCCAAGACTTTTTCTGAACACTAATGAAA